TTGAAAATAAAAAGTTCGTACCTACAGATTCATTATTCCATATTTATAGGATTTACAGAAATAACGCCCGTTGCTACGCATAATTGGGGTTGTCATGGTGGAGTGCATTATTTGTCATTTAATGTATCTTGATTTAGGATTATTATAACTGAATAATGATCAAGTATGACATAAACGCTGTGTGGGTTTTAGAACAGCAATTGTACTAAATTCTCCGTAACACTTAAATTGATAGAAAATGTCTGCTTAACTTTCTATCAATAATTCTTGACAACTCATTCATTAGGCTATTATTTGAACTTGATATACATATAGTCATATACACGTCACTTTGATTTACTTGTCTTGTGCATTTTGAAATGTGTTATACTGCCGTATAATTTATAATTTTATTCACAATCATATTTGTAATATGTCAATTGCCAACTATTTTGAAGTTTGGAAGTGAGCAATTGTTTGACATCTTTTGCGAACCCCTTTTGAGGTCGGCAAAGTACTTCCCAACCTGCACGCCAATGCCGACTTGATTTCAGCATTAAGCTCACGCTGGTGTTTTCTGATTGCGATTGATTTTCAAATAGATTGCTCTTGAGGTAGTCTCCATTCGTACTTCTGCGTTTATTTGGATGACAATTTAAATAAATCGACAACAAACTACTTTTTATTTTGATAATAACTATACACATTTTACTGAACGGCATAAATTCAAGTTTAGCAACTAATTCGCTCAATGTTTTTCATTGTCGTTGGTGGAATTAGAGTAATGAAAATGAAAATTAAATGTTGCCTGATCATCATAGCCTCTAATATTTAAGGACAAACCTTGCTGCAATTTCTGATTAGAAAATTGAAATTCTTGATTTGAAGCGTAAGACACAGTTTTCTTAGGACTTTTAGTGTTTGTTAACATTGTAACTGGATTTGTAGCATTTACAGTTAAAACGTTTTCTTCTGTGTTTTCTGATGCAGTTGATGGATCAATATGGGAGTATGAAGTGCTGTTGCAAGGAATTGGAATCGAATTGTTGGTGGACAACATATCAGCGATTTTCACTTGACCATCTAAAGAGCTGTCAACATAACCTTCAGCCACAGTATACTTGATTTCCATCCGCCCAATCTCTTTAGTTGCAGAACATCTCCTCCAGAATTAGCCAACAAGGTTGCGGCTGTTCTGCGAAAACAGTGTCCAGTGAAACCCTTTGGATCTTCCAATTGCAAATAGATAGCAATTAATTGGGGAAATTTGGCTATTGAGTTATGGCCATAGGGTTGATTGACTACTTTCCCAAGCCGTACTTGAAAGAAAAACCTTTCACTATTCACGTGTTTCCTTAAATTTATATATTATTTAACAATGTCGATCCAACTAGCATTCATGATTACAAATGCTCGAGATTTGTATGTTTTAGTATCAGGTATGGCAACAACGATCTTATCAGAAATGCTAATATCGGATATTTTCAGCTTAAACAATTCATCGCTTCTACAGGCACCAGAAACGCCAATGATTAATGTAACCTAAAATATTATACGCATAGAAGTAAAAATGCAAGATATTAACCGTCAGTTATGCTTACCTTCTGGGCCAGGAAGTCATTTGCAGCATTTTTTAAAAAGTCATCGATATTTTGTTTTGTAAAAACACATGACTTTTTTTGGGACATAGCCAACATTTTTCCTTTTCAAGTATGCTATCAATTTAGCGAACTTCGAGATGTCAACTTGATGTTTAATGTTAAGAGTACTTTTCAACATGGAATATGTTGACCATATGTACTAGGTTTTTTACTTTCCCCAACTTCACTAAAGTAAGCCAATACCACGTTTTCGGAATAAAAATTCTTTGCTCCTTTTTGAGCGCACCAATTCTTGTAACTGACATGTTTTTTCATATCGGGACTTACTCTTTATCGGCAACAAATTACTTGACAATTTTGCGGCAGCCGCTCTAAGTTCAGGTGGGGTGCTTTCCAAAACACTACAATCACTATCTGATGACATTTTTATTTAAAATAATGCACCGCCTGCACAAAAGGGAACTGAAAATGTCAACAGTTTTTCAATTTTTTATATGCAAAGCCTACCATTAAAATTATGGAAGAAGTGAAGTGTATCCTAATCCAATTAAATATGGAATTTGTTATATTACAAGGTAGATTGTGAATAAAATAGTATACTATATCTAAGCTTAGGGAGAAACTCTCCGTTTCCAGACTTTCACTGGTTGGTAGCGTCTTATTTACCAGTCAGTATTCAGTAATGTTGTAATGTTACATGCTTAACTTACTCGCGACGCAAGTGCGCTTAGACTTGCTTTTAACAATTATATAGACTATGTTTGTGCTTTTGTAATAGTGTTAGCGTAATATAATTAAATAAGTTGTAAATTTTTCTTGTAAATGTATGTAAAAGTATAGTGTGGCATTCTTTTTTTGTCCTCTATCTCAATGGGTATAAATTGAATATGGCGTCCATAAGAAATAATAGCCTGTAGCTTCTATATCTAGCGTGTTATGGAAATTCTGACAACAGATTCAGATTATCCGACAAAAAGTGCCCATAGAGGATGCTAACGGCTTCCGACCATAAATTGAAAACGAAATATTTTCAGTTTTTCGATGGTATCTGTTATTTTCAAAAATTTCAAATGCCGTTTTTTAGTCACAAAATGCACTGTATCTCATACCGTTGCGGAGATCTCAGTAGTGAGCCACGAATTTAAACCACCCTGTACACTACTATTACTTTTTATGTATCATGATATTTATAAATGAGATGCGTAGTAACCTAATCCATATTTAGTGGACAAGGTGGGATGTCTCTTTGGGTTTACAGTACACCGCAACTTTACGAAATATTTATAGTCCCGATATTTAGTAATTCAACGCGTTATATGCGCCAAGCTCGTTCATCAGAACTATAATCAGGATGCAAAATCCAGTACGGCACACCACAACAACCGCAGTTGAACTATGAACATGTAAATGTACAAAATTAGAAGAGAACGTATAAAGTTCATCCCAAAAATGGGGACGTTCGCATGACTACACTAACAGGGGATAAATTGTAAGGCTCGTACAGCATAGTCAGCTAATTTGTCCCAAAAAAAGAGAGCTCTACGTTAAAATGCGAGTTGAAAAATTAGTAAAAACACGGAGGTCCAGTAAAATTAGTTTAGTCGGCAGATTTACGTAAGGGTTACTATAATTTGATAAATTGTTTCATTTACGCGTTGCTAATTATTTAAATGGAATGTCTGCTTAATTAAGTTGCCTTTACATTTGTTCCTTAAAGCGTAATGTTACACAACCCTTTTTACAAATGTTGGTGACATAAGGATAACTAGCTAACGTCGTGCTCCACTGGTAACTCGGTATTTCGCTCTTTAGAAGCCTAGACACCACCACTTGCTCAGTAAACGATCGATGTATGCTATATCCATTTTTTCTACACCTTGCTTTGATACAGGTTCCGGGTTCGCTGCTGGCTTGGTATAGGCAAATGTGAGTAAGAAATATCGTTACTATCTACAGGAGACGGTTGCTCTTTCTCGTTAGGTAAACTTTATTGCATTCTCTGCTCGTTTCAAACTCGATCATAACTTAACCAAGATGGCACGGATGTTTACAAATTATTTTTATTATTTTATTTTTATTTTGCCTTTATTTCTGAGTGGGCGTACTATTTTGATGCGTTAGAAATTGATTTTGTTTGAAGTAATTTGAATTTTCCTGAAGGAATCGACCCATAATTTATTTCCGTGAAAAGATTTGTATTTCCTTTATCGATAAGGATTAGGTTCAAGCAAATGATTTGGATTATAATGTTTCATTAATGGTATTTATCATACAAAGAAGTACGCCAGAGGTCTCATGTTTATATACAAAGGCATGTGGTGGAGCCCAGGTTGTTTTTGCGTGTTTGGACTGTTTCAAAGGCTTCTAGTCTTTTTAAAAAAATATATAAATGTTAGTTTAGTCTATTAGTGGTGATATTTGCGAATTTGAATCCCAAATTAACTTCAACGACGTCCAAATATGGCATTGAATTTCGTTTGCTACACTGTAAGAAGAAATGAAAACTACAAAGTTTTAAAACTTGGCACATATTAAACATTTATTACACATTCTTTGTGAGCTTCACGAAATGCTGTCGGGAAATAGTAAAAGTAGTGCGAAAATGTAGATGGGGAACACTTAGCTCGCCGCTGTACAGTAATTTTCGTTCCATACTAGAATTTTAATGTTCTCGATCGTAAAGCAACGCTTAAGATAATACGTGTTCTTTCGTGTGGTGTACCCAAAGAAAAACTGCTTCAGACGAAAACCAATCACGGTAAATCTGAAGCTTGGAAGTTTCGTAATTTGCTACCAACTAGGGAGTCGTACTAGATATAAATTAAATTAGCTGACTCTCCGTTTTATAACACATTCGTGAGATTTTCGGCTAATGTTTTAATTCAAACACGCTTTATGAATGCAATTATACTGCACTCATATCGCATAAAGTGGCTGTAGTATTTGGGATATTGTTATACTCGCTATTCATTATGAATAGTAATGGAAGGTAATGCTGATATTTTCCACTAATTGCTTCTTTCGATTATATGCCTGTATATTTCCACTTTTCCAATTGAAAATGGTTTTCGATGTGTTTTTTAATGAAACGTTGCAAATAGCTCGCCATTTTGTGCATTAATCGTAAAAGGGCAGTAAAATATGTAATGTGATGACCGTACCTACATATATTTATTAAATGAATCGACAATGGTGCTGGTGTTGTGTAATAACATAATATTATGGTGGAAATGTCTGGAACTTACAGAGAGATCATGGAATACTGGCCAGTTCATTTTTATAAAATATAACATTAGTAACTATTTTCCGCAATGGGTTGTTGTGTGAACCATCTAGTCGTATGACCCATACCAAAAATGAAAGTAAATGAGACTGCCTTCACTATTGGTGACTGAAAACAACTTCAAAAGGTCACAAAACTAGAGTCCCAAACAAAATTTAATTGCATCTATTTTAACAATTTTGAAATCACACTTTCAACTGGCTCAAATTACACAAGACCCTAAATTTACTGGATTCGTGGTGGCAAAGTTTAACAGCTACTACACCACTTAAATCTAAAATTAAATTTAAACGAAACTTCGTGTTAATTGCTGGTTTTTATTATTACTCGACGTACTTAAAGTCTGACCATTTCCTTTTCGCTGCCTTCGAGAACTTTTAGTTCGCATGCACGGTTCTCTTTCGCCCCAAGCAATTTGTAAGGTGTGGTCAGTTTCCCACGACACTTGCAGGTTCTAGTGGGTTGGAAGGAATCCAATCCCAGCGCTCATGTCGTCAGGGGTAATAAGATGGAAGGTTTCATCCTCGACGGCGGCGGTATGTCGCACCTTCCATCTCCTCGGATTCATAAATGATCGCCTATTGAGTGCAGCTATCAGACATGGAGGGATGCACGGGGGTTTGGATGATGTTTGGCATCTTTGTTCCAGTGTTCCCGCTGAAGTTTTGAATTTTATATATCTGTAAAATTTCATATGTACCGCTTTATACGAATGGTAGGCGCGATTAGGATTAAAGGTCACTGCCATGCGGGTTTAAAAAACATGCGAGTTGCCAAAATTGCGTTAGGGCCGTATCGGCAATGCATCCGGGCAACAGATTAGATAAGAATAGAAGCATTCCTGCAGAGAATAGGTAACGTCGTAGGTTTATAGTAAACGCAGCGGCCTCGGAAATAAAGCAAAGTCTTCGGGCGTTTCGGTAATCTCATTCTGAGGAAATAATGAGAAGCTCCAGATGGAAACTGTTTTCGTCAAATATACATTCGTGTAAATTCGTACTGAGAACTATCGCATAAATTTATAAACTTACAAACGGACATATCTGACGAATAAGTTATAGTTAAAGTGGGGTTTCACTTAATAAAAACTCTAAATTAACCACCAGTTGCAGGATTCGGCCCTTTGAGTGCTCAAATAATAACTCGTATTGTGATAGCGGAAAGCTAGTTTGAATGCAGTAGAGATAAGTAGAAAGTTCATTGCCCGATCATTTCCATACAAGGAAAGGTAGTAAATAGTACGAGGAAGATTCAAGAAAATTTTAACGGTATTTCCCTAGGAGATCCAATTTTCGTTTCTATATTGTTCAGCTTTAACGCGCCATCTTTTCAAGAAGGACATTAAATTGCATTGCATTTTCATTCTTAAACGAATCGGTCATCTTGGGTTTTACCAAAATAGACGTCAATTACCAATTATTCTGATCCGGTTTTACTTCTTACTTAAATTAGGAACGAAATTTAGACGAGCTATAACATTAATTATTAATTATATTATAATTAATTCGGTATGGTATTCCGTTAGATCAAGCATGCGATGTATCATCATAACAACATGCTTGGCAATAATTAATGGAAACTATACATTTAGCCACAAGAACCAGCCACCTACCCTCACAATGCACCCGAGAAAACTAACGACAAGCACTACAAATATTTATTGATCACACTGCAATAATACATTACGATTTATAGTTTTAAATTATCACGCTGATAAACTCTTTGGCGTGGAAAAATTAATTTCACCATTAACTCTAACCGCACTTTGCGGCATGGGTTGGTTTTCATTACTTTTAAACTTGATAGGAGATTTTTATTGTGATTGAATTGTAAATCGAAGACTCCTATCTTTACGACAATTGGCCTTATATACGATTAAAACGGTAGGGGAAATTGAAGGCATGCCGTTCGATACGTAATTGCACCGAACTGAAATCTGTGAAATTAAAATAGCTTCGCGAAATATAAAAACCCGTCTCATTATTTCGAACGCGTATTTTTTATGAACAAAAAAAGGAAAGCTGCTCGGACTCGACCCTTTGATCTCTGCAATGACATTTCTAATTCAACACGCGTAGAAGCGCCGGTAATTGCCAGTCTGCTGTATTCTCTTCCACTGTCGAAAGAGCATTTCAAGCAAGCATTTTATTTATGTAGCAAATTTAATTTTCTAACTTCATCGTGTTGCTATGGGAACGGGCATTACTTTTAATTTTTGCTAAATGACTTTAACTATCGCATTTTTCCTCTCTTAGACATTAGGTTGCCATTAAACCGTTGAAGTAAATGAATTTGCGAGAAATTTACCGCAAAATTTTAATATATTTCGGTTTTAATTGAAATTGTGCTACAGCTTGAAGTAATTGCGTACCCGATACAACGTCACTCTCCACTAACTACATTCTAAAGCAATCCGTGTAAATAAACTGTGGAATGCTCCTTTTTGCAGCAGTCATTATTATTCCTTTATCTCGAGAGGGATTCAACGCTTCGCGATTGTAAATGAGCGGTTAGTTTTAATGGTGTCGTATATGCATGTATCGTTAACATATTTTTACTTTAATGACTTCAATTTTTTCCTGCTTCTCTTTACACGTACACAAATTCGCGCGGTATGACCGAGATGCAAAAGAATGCGTTGGAACGTTTGAGTAACTACGGTATTACTTCTCCAAGGCAAACGCAATGGTTTCCTATTAACTCGCGCTGGGAATTTTAGTTTGCGACTGGCAAACAATGAAACAAAATTAATTAACACCGTATGAATATGTATACAAATTTAAATCATATGATAATAGGTATCATCTTGACACAAACTCGGTTGTATACATCCGACAACGTTGCTCGTTCCTGCAGTTAATATGTAGAACAATCCTCCACCTACTGCAATATCCCTGTGGTCACTACCGGTTGCGCGGCGTTTCCGTATCGAAAACCCTGGAGCTGAGAACAATAGGAGCTAGTTTACTAACACAATACCGCAATTGTAGCAAATAGTAATATGGATTTAATGCAACCCATTTTCAGATTATATTAGTATTCTTAATTGGATGTGTATTTTGGTCGTTATCCGACTTCGTTTCGCATAACCGCTTACATTCGTCGGCAAAAAGCGTTATTGGTAATCGCTAAACAATTTTAAAGGTGGATTTTTTGCGAAAAGAATAAATATACTAGATATGATACTAATGTGCATTGTGCTTTATTGCCTTTCTGTTAACCATTTTGATGAAGTCATTCACTGGTTCAAGATCATGCTCACCCAACAACCTTAAAGGGTATCGCCCAGCAAAGGTGTAATATAAACTCGCGAGATGCTATTTAGTCTATCTATACCTTTAGCACAATTTTTTTATAATGCAATAATTACATTCAGCAATACACACAGACACGGATCACGATCGGAATGAACCGTAGACGCCAACCTCACCACACAATCCTTCCTTATTCATGTGAAGAGGTATACATTTGATAACAACGGGATATCAAATGCTGTCAATATTATTCAAACCAGAACGTTAATTTTGCACGAATCCAGGTGCCGGCTCGAATTGTATAAGCTACGGTGAAGTAAAAAATATATCATATCTATCTATGAAAAAAATGTGGAGATCTAGTGCGAGATCCCCTGCATAGTAAAAAGTTGTAAATTGCGAAGAGGAAGCCCCTATAACTTTTCAGCAACACGTATCAATCCCAAATGTGTGGGGAATAGACGTGGATAAAATTTAAAATTTCGCGAAAATTCCGCACCCTTATAATTACTGCACTCTCGTAGATACCGAAAAGTCGATGAATACATTTAAAGTGACACTTAATAACAATACGAAATTGGTTTGGCTTCCAATGAGCTCTACTTTCATCTTAACGAGGGTGCCTCATTGAAATATGCCATTCAAGGCGCGCGACTCATTGAACGTAAAGGAAAGTGGAAAACCTAATACTGCGAGTTTCAATATTTCCGAGCAACATTTATTACAAGATCAACAAAACTATAGGCATGTATCCGTAACAAATTTTGATGTGTAATTACTTTTTCCTGTACAACAAACGCTCTTTCTTCCTCCTTAATGAGTTTTTGATGGAAAACGAAGAAGATAAAAGACGACTGACGTTGATGTATAAAAAGGCCACAAATAAGCTTCCGCCTGTAAGCCAACAGATGCATTATTGAAAACATATTTTGTCGTGTTTTCGCATGGCGGGTTCAATCTTATAGCAATCTGGCGTTGATTGCTCTCCACCCCTTTGCGTACCACCCCGAGGGATTTCTGACCCGTTCCCTTATGTGGTTTGACCTAAACATTCATCTGTAAGTAGTTTACGGATTAGGGTAGTGGATTATGAAATTGGAAAACGGTTCCTTTCGATTGAAGTGATGCAATGAATTTTCGATCTCTATTATTAGATATTAATTTGCTGTGGGCGAGATTTTCGAATAAATTAGTAATTTGCGCCATTCTAAAGGGATCTTGATATTGAAGTGCCTATTTTAATACAGAAAATGGATTTATATACTCTTAATTATTATACATTTTACTATTGGTACTGCATATTTTATAACACACTAATTAACTTGCCTTGAAATATTTTTAGTACACATTGTTTCCAATTAAGTCGACACTAGTGATTACTTTCTTATTATCGGAGACACGAAGACGATTAAATTAGCGAAGCATTTTCTTCTCAGGATTATAATCGCTAAATCAGAAGAATGATTGCGTATCGAGTTCATGAGTCAACAAACGCCCTATTTATCTATTTTAGGTAAATTGATAAAAAACATGTACCATACTCCCCCTTTTAAATGGAGTTTTAACTCGTTTTTAACCTTTGCCCGTTTGACCACTAATGTTAGTAGTTTTAATAGAAACCACTCTCACAATATTGTCCTTTTCAGCATGCCTTTCCACTACTCTTCCCATTGGCCAGTGTCTAACTAATACGTTATCAGCCTTGATTATAACCAATACACTATTTTCTGTCTGCCCTTTTATTGCCGAACTTGAAAATTATGAAGATAATCTTCACGCAATCGCCAAATTCTGATTTATGGAGTAAGGAGTTGTGTTTCCTCTCGCAGAACTGGCAATTCCGACTTGAGCAATCCTTTGCTGCATGGTTAGGATTGACGCAATTGATGCACAGAGAAAGATTCTTCAGATGGACAATTTTCTCTTCAACTGTGTCTCATGTAGTCACATGTACCCTTCGTTGCCGGTATAGAGATATTATGGTTGTGCAGAAGTACGAGTTTGTAGTTGTAATTGTTTAATACTCCAATCGTAAAATTGCGTTTCCGATCTGTAATTTTTTTGTAAATTTTTGAGCGCTTAATTTTTTACTCCGTCTTTGCATGGTGCCTTTCGGGTTTTTAAGTTGTTTATTATTTGTTCTTTGATTCTATAGATTTTTTTTCGTATTATGTTCTTTCTTCTCTTCTTCTTCCTATATTGTTCACCTTCGTTGTAAATTCTTCTTCTTATTGTCTTCGTTTGGTTTGAATTGTTTTCCGAGTATCTACGTCTGCGAATTTCTCTGCTTTTTTGCCGTCCGTTTTTGCCGTTTCCTTTCTTCTATCGGTAGTTTGGTTCGTGTTTTCCTTCCGGTGAGAGCTTGAACCGTCTGATCAGTCTTCCGTGTTGAGATCCTCTAGTTTCCTGTGCCATTGCTCGTTGCTAATTTTTTAATTTCTTTTTTGACGTCATTGGTAAGTCTGTTGAGCGCTGTTTTCCGGGTTTAGTGTTTTCGTGTATTTTTATTTTTCTCCAGCAGTGCTTTCAGTTCTACGGGAGTCTCTCTTTTTTGGTTTCCCTCTTTTGTTCATTTGCGCTTTTTTCGTTTCTTTCGCTCTCTTCTGTCAGAAATCTTCTCGATGAGGTGGTGCTCTCTTCAATTTTTATTCGCTGGTTGTTCGTTTTGCCGGGTTGTTAGGGTTCTTCGGGCATTTCGTTCGTCGCAATTTTCCACCTGTACGGAGAGCCCTCTGCGAGGACTAAAGGTGCTAGATACCTTTTTTTGCCTTTCATGCGCGATACTTTCGTTACCGGGTAACCTTGCCTTTTCAAATATTCCCCGATTTCTTCGTCGCTGGTCTCGGTCATGATTGCTCTGATCACTACGTTCAGTTGCTTTTCACTCCGCAACTGATAGGTGCCGTTACCGTTTAAAAGTTTAAAAAGTTTTCTGTAATTATTCTCCGCCGAAAGCTCCACTAACACGCCTTGTGCAATTAGTTTCATGTTTTCATATTCTATTCCGTCGTTTCGCCGTATTGATTGAAGTTTTGAATGAATGCACCGAAGAGTAGAAGATTTAAACACCTACCTTTGACATTTCCTTCATATATGACAGCATGAACGATGCATTTAAGACCTTGTTTGAAAGATGCTTCCTATTAATCCACGCGGTGCTTCACCTTCATACTGCGCATACTTTAAAGACTTGATTATACACTTGTTTCTTAATATACTATTTAAAATTCGAGGACCCTTCTAGGGAAGTGGTTGGTGAATAGTACATACCTATAATGATTTGTTTTGCATTAGATAAAGGGTGGATATTTAGAGATAACAGTTTGGGAAAGTATAACCCTAGATAATG